GATTGGTAGTGTCTGAGTCTTACCATAAAATTAGATATTAACGGAAATTCCCCGGGGACAACACTACAAACCCATATTTCAAAACACGTACATGTACCAACGTTTCCCGATCTAAGGGATTTAAGGGAGGGTTTACGAAAAACAAACTCACTCTAAAACATCATGGTTGTGGTGAGGCGCTATGTTTAGAGTTTAGACGGGACGTGCGTAGAGCTAACTGAGAAAGTATGACTGTATCTTCGCCGGTATAGACGGTGAACTATAGAATGACCGATTGATATGTAGAGTTTGTGACCGGTTTTAGTATACCGGCATACAAATCATATTACAGATTTACAGATTTAAGAAAATGTTTCTGTTTAGTACGGATACAAATTAAACCTTGATAATTTTGACATATTTTACAATGATAATTTCCTCTAACATCCCAAATCATATTGCAATTGCAATATCAGTCAAACCATTGCAATTAGTTATATTTTCCAAATCCTGCTGCCCTATACTGCTTGAGGCGTGTGGTACAGTGGGTTGTGCATTGGTGTTCGGATCAGGGGGCCACAGGTTCGAACCCCTCTGCAGTCAGCATGTCGTTGTGTGCCTGGGCAACACACTTCACCCCAAATTGCTCCTGTGGGGATTGTCCACAGTATTGAGTATGTGAGTCGCTGAGTCTAACAAGTAACATGTAATGTAATGTTTGGACCAATAACAACATCACCCTTTCTCTTCTCCTCTCAGCGGGGTTAGTGTTCACCACCCCTCAAGGCACTCTGGTCCCCACCTCCTCCACCCAGTCATTTGTTGCCGGACACCCCACTACCATGATCGTATCTGCATTGCACCAATCAAATGCAGGTAAAACGAGGCCGCAGTTCCCCGTCACTTCAGTCATTTGGTTAATGGTCATTAATCAAACTGCAGTTAAAGGTTTACGAATTGATTGAGGAATATAGAAGCTTTGTCAGCAATGTCTTACAGTAAAGTCCTCTCAGTAAAACTGGCAGCCAAAACCTGCCTACTGTAAACATTTTTGGCCACCATTTAGTGGAGCAAATGGGAGTGACCAACAAGGGCACCATGATACAAACTGAAGATGTTTCTTAATTTATTCCTGAGATTAGTTAGTTAGGCTAGAAACACAAACATCAACTTCCTGTTTTTGACCCACCATGCATTCCTTTCCTTTCTTTCTACACTTTTCTCTTGTTTCCAGACAAGAAGGAGGACATTACTGTCCCCCCCGCGGTCGTCATGCAGATGCCATCAAAGCGAGGCAGAAAGAACAAACAGATGATGGGCAGAATGGCTGGAGTGGGGAGGGTCCTCCCTCCAGGAAGTGATGCATTAATATTGGCACACCTTGCAGCTGGTGGACAGGTGAATTGAATGATATCTTAATAATATTTTGTCTTTAGCAGTAACTGATTTTCTAGTTGATTGTCAGTGTTTGCGCCTTTTATCACATCTAACATGCTGTTATTGTGTTAGCACCACAATGCTGATCCATATGACCTGTCAAATGATGAGGATGAACACACCAACAAAGATGGCCCTAAATCATACAGGTAATGGGAAAACAATGAGATTACAGAAAAGTATTATCCTTTGTGGCGTCACCAGCTTTTATGCACATTTAGAGCAGGTCATCTTTAATAACAGACATTATCGTCTGTATTTTTCAGTGATGCAAATTAGTCGCTTTTCGGCGCCTCCCGCTTATTTAACGCTGCTTTGGGTGACTTGTGTAATTCGTGGAGAACCGAAGAGTTTTCGTTTTGGGGGGGGGTCCGTTAGTCCGTCCGACGGACAACTTCTCACTTCAAAAAAGAAGAAGAAATCTAGATTGCAAAAAAATTAAACAAGCGAGTGCCTGTTTTTCCTGGCCAAGGACAGGTTCCTTGAACACAACACGAGCGTAACGTGTCTTCACGTGGTTATGTCTCGTCTGAAAGGAGTGTAGACTAGACTAGAGTGCTGACGGAGAGCACCGGAACGCCGCTCCAACTCTTCAAATATTGCAGTACCCATAAGGAGCCGTACACATGCTGCAGTGTTTGTGTGGCTGTCTTTAGTTGTAAGCACAGTGGCGATCTGTTGTTATTAGCATTTGGTTAGCTAGCTATGCTAACGAATTTAAAGAGCTTTTCTACAACCAGGTGGAAGAGAGCTCTCTCCTGAGAGGCTCAAATAACCTCAGCTCAGTGAGGTTAAGGCACACCTTGATATGATCAATATAATTATTAATGAGACATTAGAGACTAAATGAAAAACAGGTATAAAATACTATATGACAGTAACAAAAAAGTTGTTAAAAATAAGTTTGAAAGGGGAGTGATTTGTAAAATATCCAAAAAGAAAAATGTGCTTACAGTTCTGTTTCAAAGGGGTGTTGAGAGATGTATCCATAGATCTCCTCATGTTGCTCTCAAAGTGCACCAGATTGAAGCTTTTAACTTCAATATTTCACGATATGTACGAGTTAATTGACCGATAAAGAAATATTATATGAGTCGTAAGTTATCCTCTGTCCTACAATTCAATATTAGTTTCCCAAAAAATAATAATGAAAATAGTCGTCCCCCCGCCTTGGAAAAAGGAAAAGTTAAAAATGTCTGCGTAAGGAGGCTCCCGGCATGTTTACTAACTTGCAGTTGGAGACGAATTTTTTTAATTCTTAGTGTCGGTAAGTAAACCGGAAAGAAAGTTACGACACGTTATCTTTTTCGTTGGAGAATTAGGTCTATCGAAACGGGTACTGAGCGCCGTACGTACGTCACACGTGCACACCGTCTGGTGGTTTTCGTCTTTCTATACCTAGTGTTCTACCACACGTTTACATAATCATAGCGGTACACTTTGTTACTAAATTCCACCCCTCTCGATTGGAGGTTATCCCCCAGGCCCGTGACCGGCAGGCGGCCCTTCTAAT